TTTTGTATTTTTGCAAAAATATTTTCCCTTTATAAAAATGTTTTGTTTGATATCATTAAAACTTGAAAGCTTTGAGGGATCTAAGATCGTGTTTTGACTTAACAAATTTCCATGTACCCCCTCCTCTAATAAGGTAAAACTTGTCTTTATTACTGAGGAAGCTAACTTTTGTTGCCATGTGATGTCATTCGTGCTCAAGAACGCAGGTGCTACTTACTAACGACTGATGAACAAAGTCTTCTAAAGGCAAATTGGGAGAAACTTGAAGGTGTGTGTGGATGACAGAGTGGTTAAGCCCAACTACATCATCGAGTACATGAATGATCTTGCTAAGGTGTTCGTTTAGGTAAGAAAGCATCACATGCCCCTAAACCCTAAGAAGTGCGTGTTCAATGTATGTGGGGACAAATTCTTAGGCTTCATGCTAACAATAAGAGAAATTGAGGCCAACCCTGACAAGTGTCAAACCATCAATAACATAAAGAGTCCGGCCAATCTCAAGGAGGAAAAAAAATGTATATAAGAATTTTCTTAATACTTGAACTTCATAAGTTCAATTTCTTAAGTTAGAGAAAAGTTAGAGAAAGGAGCTCTCGAGCTAGAAATTTTCCCTTCTTCTTCTTAGTCTTCTAGAGTGTTGTAAGATTCTTCCCTTGAGAGATTTTGTCGTTGGTTAGGGATTCGATGCTTCAAAGCTAAGAATCAAAGAATTGTAGTTGTTGTGCGAAGCTAAGCTTCGCATTTTTGTACATATGCTTTACAATCTGATCTCATAGTTGGCCAGTAGTAGCCAGCTCGGATCACCCTAGCAGCCATGGACCGAGCTCCCGAGTGTATACCACATATACCCCGATGGATCTCGTCCATTACATACCCAACTTGATCTGAGTTAAGGCATTTTAAAAGGGATACTGAGAATCCCCTTTTGAACAACTCTCCAGCTTCAATTGTGAAATGACAAGATTTGAGTTTGATTTTTGAGGCTTCAGCTTTATCTTCCGGTAAAGTACCGCTTGTAAGATATTGCCAAATGTTTGACATCCAGCTTGGTTGACTGAGGTTGTTAGCTGACACTGCTAGAGAATCATAGCTAAGTGCATTAATTGTCTCTTGTACAATTGTTTTGTGCTGTCTGGAACGTTTAGTACTGGCTAGTTTTGACAGCAGATCAGCTCTAACATTTTGGGCCCTTGGGATATGTTCCATCTGGAAATTGTCAAAAAAAGAAGTCAAATGAGATACTAGAAGGTTATACTTTTGGAGTTGTGGTTCCTTCGTTTGATAACTTCCTCCGACTTGCTCTATGATCAACTTGGAATCACTACAACATCGAAGATTTTTGACACCGACATCTCTGGCCAATCTCAAACCTGCAAGTATTAGTAGCTTTGAAATCAAATTTGATTGCAGGTTCAAGCATCATCTCATTAGGACCCTCAAGAATAATACCTGCACCACTACCTTTTGTATTGGACGATCCATCAACATGTAAAATCCAGGATTGCTCTTTCGTAGGAATGTTGGGTGTCAGCTTGGCAATGAAATCAGCAAGACATTGGGCTTTTAGTGCTCCTCGACTTTCATATTTGATTCCATATTCGGACAGCTCGATGGACCAAGCTGTCATCCGACCGGCGAGATCGGGCTTTCGAAGTATCTGCTTGATGGGATAGTCGGTTTTTACCACAATCCGATGACTTTGAAAATAGGGCCGAAGTCGCCAAGCTAAAGTTACTAGCGCGAGGACCAACTTCTCAATGGTTTGGTACTTCTTCTCGGTGTCTTGCAAAACACGACTAATAAAGTAAATAGGAATTTGCTTCTTACCGTCATTATGCATAAGGGCTGCACTAATTGCATTGTCGGCCACAGCGAGGTATAGCAAGAGGTCGGCGTGACTCTGAGGTTTAGTCAGGATGGGGGGTGCATATAAAAATATTTTGAAGTCTGAAAATGCTTGCTCACATCGGTCATCCCAATGGAAATTCTTTGGTTTCTTCAACAGGTTAAAAATGGGTTTGGCCTTTTCTGCCATCTTGGGAATGAGCCGAGAGAGAGAAGCGAGCCTGCCCGCCAACCTTTGTACCTCTTTGTGGTTCTGGGGACTTCTCATGTTAATCAGTGCCTGACACTTATCTGGATTTGCCTCTATCCCCCGACAAGTAATCATGAATCCTAAAAACTTCCCACCTTGGACTCCAAAAACACATTTCTCAGGATTTAGTCTCATGTTATACCTTCTGACTTGCTGGAAGATTTCTTCTAGATCTCGGACGTGATCGTTGACTGACTTCGTTTTGATGACCATGTCGTCAACATAAACCTCCAGATTACGGACAATTTGTTCCGCAAAGACTTTGTCCATTAGCCTTTGGTATGTTGCTCCCACATTTTTGAGTCCAAATGGCATGACATGATAATAGTAGTTGGCTTGTTCTGTGATAAATGCAGTGTACTCTTCATCTGGGGGGTACATTAAAATCTGATTATAGCCGGAGTAAGAATCTAGGAAACTAAGCATAGCATAGCTGGAAGCTCCATCAACCAATCTGCCAATGTTGGGTAAGGGGTATGCATCTTTCGGACAAGCTTTGTTTAAATCTGTATAGTCAACACACATACGCCACTTGCCATTGGACTTTTTAACCATCACGACATTGGCTAACCAAGTGGTATACTTAATTTCTCTAATGAACCCTGCACTTAACAGTTTTTTAGTCTCAACTTTAACAACTTCTCTTCTTTCACCGCCAATCTTTCTCTGCTTTTGGGACACTGGCTTTGCTTCCTTGTAAATGGCTAATTTGTGGCAAATAAAGTTGGGATCTATCCATGGCATATCTGCACTACTCCATGCAAAGAGATCAGCATTTTCAGTGAGAATTGACATGATTTTACCTCAGATATCGGTTTCAATGTGTTTTTCGATTTTGGTGCACTGTCCTGGCTTCTTTCCAATCTGGAATTCAATTAGTTCGTTAACAGGGCTAGGTCAGTGGTCATGCATGTCAACTCAGGGATCCAGGTCAGCCATTTCCCTTGTTCCGAGATGGGCTACTACAGAAGAATTTGACTTCTCGGGTTGAAGACTGGTAGGGGCAATCCTTAAGCTCTCGGCATAACATCTCCTTGCTATTTGCTGATTAGCTTTGATAGTTATTATACGTCCGTCTGTGCCCGGGAATTTCATAGTCAAATGGGGTGTTGACACAATTGCTCCTAACTGATTTAATGTTGGTCTCCCAATGAAAATATTGTAGGAGGTGACGGCATCAACTAACAAATACTTCACCAGCACTCTCTTTGAATTCTGAGTTGTACCAAAAGAGGTTAGCAATTCAATGAAACCACGAGTGTGAACTCGCTCACCTGCGAAACCGACGAGAGGCTCAGAATATGGTTGGATCATATTATGAGGGATGTCAAGCTTCAAGAAAGTAGGCCAATACAGCACATCGGCAGAGCTACCTTGGTCAATCAATGTTTTCTGAACTTCCCAGTTAGCCACTTCGACTGAGATGACCATGGGATCGTCTTGGTTTAGACTTATGCCTTCATAATCATCATCGGTGAAGACAATGGGAGGAGTTGATGGACTCGTTTTGATGTCCGAGTTGTGGTGATCATTGATATTGTGAACGTTACGTAGGTGCCACTTTCTGGCGGAGTTAGAACTTCCACCTCCGGCGAAGCCCCCCCGCAATGGTATTAATGACTCCTCGCAGGTTATTGTCGGTAGAGGATTTGTCCCCGTGCTATGGATCGGCACTGTTTTCACTGGGTTTGTTTTCTTCGTGTATGGGTGCTTGTTGATAGTTACCTTGCTCAAATCGGCCTTGGTAACTTTGGGAGCGTCCTTGATATCGGTTTGAATATCGTCCTCGCCCTCTGCCGCGTCCTCGGAACCCCCCGCGGGAAGCTTGACTACGTTGGACATATTGGCCAAGGTGACCAGCCTGAATCAGTTCTTCGATTTTGTCTTTGAGGCTCCAACATTCCTCCGTTGTGTGTCCATGGTTTCGGTGATATCGCGAGACACTCGAGCAAGGAAACCGGAGAGAAGGAACTCAACCTATTGACCGATCTCACACAACCTCGGCTGAATCCAACCAGGAAGACGACTTATCCGAGTTAGGGATCCGACCTGATTCGTGTAAGTACATTTGGCGCTAGAAGGAGGGTCTGGTAAAACTTTTCCTCCTTCACCCTTATGGTTTCAACCCGAAGTCAGACCAATAGAGCAACAAGTGCAACGAGTGTACCACGTTCAAGCACACCGAACATGGAAGATAATCCAACCCTTCGACGGTTACTTGAACAGATAGAACTAATGCAACGACAACACGCAGCCGCAATGGAGAATCTACGTAAATAGCACGAAGCCGATCTGCAACAGTTACGTGCTGAGCAGGCCGGATTCCGAGCACAATGGCAGCAAAATCAACCACCGCCATATACTCATCATGCTAGCCATGTTCCACCTACGGCAGAAGAACATCAGTCTTCTCCCGATCCTACATACCCAGCAGAACCCACTCACACTCACACTCACCGAATATGATCCACATTCCACTCAACGACACCCATTTGTTGATGGAATAATGGAAGTCCCTCTCCCACCCACTTGGAAACCGTTGAACATAGATAGATATGACGGAACCACAGATCCCGATGAGCACATCGATGCATATGTTACCCAGATCAACCTTTATATGAATGACGATGCCATCATGTGCCGGGTATTCCCAACTTCACTCAAGGGGGCTGCCCTGAGTTGGTACACACAACTACCACTCAGATCCGTAAATAATTTTGATACTCTGGTTCGTTTTTTGTCTGCCCAATATGCCACCAGCAGACCTCATCATATCACCTCAGCAACGTTGTCTAATCTGCGACAATAGGATGATGAATCCCTCAGGCATTTTATGGAGTGATTCGCCAATGTTTCCATCAAAATTCGAAACCTCAATCCAGAAGTCGCCCTCCATTCCATGTTGATGGCCCTCAAACCTGGACCCTTTGTTGACAGTCTTTGCCGACATCAACCAGCCAGCATGGACGAACTGAGAGCGCGCGCTGCCGGTTACATCCAAATGGAAGAGCATGCTGAGTTCTGTAATAATATCCGGGATGGCCTTGCCGTCAAGGGCGAGTCCAGTAGTAAGGAGAAGCAAAAGAGTCACTTCGATCAAAGATCCAAGAGACCTCGTCAAGCACGAGGTCCCAGGTGTGATTTTTACACACCCCTTAATGCTCTGCACGTTAATATTTTAGAAGAATCTAATCATGCAGATCTAATCTCCTTACCTCCCCCGGCGTACAACTCGGCCAATGCCGACAAGAGCAAACATTGTCGATATCACCGAAACCATGGACACACAACGGAGGAATGTTGGAGCCTCAAAGACAAAATCGAAGAACTGATTCAGGCTGGTCACCTTGGCCAATATGTCCAACGTGGTCAAGCTTCCCGCGGGGGGTTCCGAGGACGCGGCAGAGGGCGAGGACGATATTCAAACCGATATCAAGGACGCTCCCAAAGTTACCAAGGCCGATTTGAGCAAGGTAACTATCAACAAGCACCCATACACGAAGAAAACAAACCCAGTGAAAACAGTGCCGATCCATAGCACGGGGACAAATCCTCTACCGACAATAACCTGCGAGGAGTCATTAATACCATTGCGGGGGGGCTTCGCCGGAGGTGGAAGTTCTAACTCCGCCAGAAAGTGGCACCTACGTAACGTTCACAATATCAATGATCACCACAACTCGGACATCAAAACGAGTCCATCAACTCCTCCCATTGTCTTCACCGATGATGATTATGAAGGCATAAGTCTAAACCAAGACGATCCCATGGTCATCTCAGTCGAAGTGGCTAACTGGGAAGTTCAGAAAACATTGATTGACCAAGGTAGCTCTGCCGATGTGCTGTATTGGCCTACTTTCTTGAAGCTTGACATCCCTCATAATATGATCCAACCATATTCTGAGCCTCTCGTCGGTTTCGCAGGTGAGCGAGTTCACACTCGTGGTTTCATTGAATTGCTAACCTCTTTTGGTACAACTCAGAATTCAAAGAGAGTGCTGGTGAAGTATTTGTTAGTTGATGCCGTCACCTCCTACAATATTTTCATTGGGAGACCAACATTAAATCAGTTAGGAGCAATTGTGTCAACACCCCATTTGACTATGAAATTCCCGGGCACAGACGGACGTATAATAACTATCAAAGCTAATCAGCAAATAGCAAGGAGATGTTATGCCGAGAGCTTAAGGATTGCCCCTACCAGTCTTCAACCCGAGAAGTCAAATTCTTCTGTAGTAGCCCATCTCGGAACAAGGGAAATGGCTGACCTGGATCCCTGAGTTGACATGCATGACCACTGACCTAGCCCTGTTAACGAACTAATTGAATTCCAGATTGGAAAGAAGCCAGGACAGTGCACCAAAATCGAAAAACACATTGAAACCGATATCTGAGGTAAAATCATGTCAATTCTCACTGAAAATGCTGATCTCTTTGCATGGAGTAGTGCAGATATGCCATGGATAGATCCCAACTTTATTTGCCACAAATTAGCCATTTACAAGGAAGCAAAGCCAGTGTCCCAAAAGCAGAGAAAGATTGGCGGTGAAAGAAGAGAAGTTGTTAAAGTTGAGACTAAAAAACTGTTAAGTGCAGGGTTCATTAGAGAAATTAAGTATACCACTTGGTTAGCCAATGTCGTGATGGTTAAAAAGTCCAATGGCAAGTGGCGTATGTGTGTTGACTATACAGATTTAAACAAAGCTTGTCCGAAAGATGCATACCCCTTACCCAACATTGGCAGATTGGTTGATGGAGCTTCCAGCTATGCTATGCTTAGTTTCCTAGATTCTTACTCCGGCTATAATCAGATTTTAATGTACCCCCCAGATGAAGAGTACACTGCATTTATCACAGAACAAGCCAACTACTATTATCATGTCATGCCATTTGGACTCAAAAATGTGGGAGCAACATACCAAAGGCTAATGGACAAAGTCTTTGCGGAACAAATTGTCCGTAATCTGGAGGTTTATGTTGACGACATGGTCATCAAAACGAAGTCAGTCAACGATCACGTCCGAGATCTAGAAGAAATCTTCCAGCAAGTCAGAAGGTATAACATGAGACTAAATCCTGAGAAATGTGTTTTTGGAGTCCAAGGTGGGAAGTTTTTAGGATTCATGATTACTTGTCGGGGGATAGAGGCAAATCCAGATAAGTGTCAGGCACTGATTAACATGAGAAGTCCCCAGAACCACAAAGAGGTACAAAGGTTGGCGGGCAGGCTCGCTTCTCTCTCTCGGCTCATTCCCAAGATGGCAGAAAAGGCCAAACCCATTTTTAACCTGTTGAAGAAACCAAAGAATTTCCATTGGGATGACCGATGTGAGCAAGCATTTTCAGACTTCAAAATATTTTTATATGCACCCCCCATCCTGACTAAACCTCAGAGTCACGCCGACCTCTTGCTATACCTCGCTGTGGCCGACAATGCAATTAGTGCAGCCCTTATGCATAATGACGGTAAGAAGCAAATTCCTATTTACTTTATTAGTCGTGTTTTGCAAGACACCGAGAAGAAGTACCAAACCATTGAGAAGTTGGTCCTCGCGCTAGTAACTTTAGCTTGGCGACTTCGGCCCTATTTTCAAAGTCATCGGATTGTGGTAAAAACCGACTATCCCATCAAGCAGATACTTCGAAAGCCCGATCTCGCCGGTCGGATGACAGCTTGGTCCATCGAGCTGTCCGAATATGGAATCAAATATGAAAGTCGAGGAGCACTAAAAGCCCAATGTCTTGCTGATTTCATTGCCAAGCTGACACCCAACATTCCTACGAAAGAGCAATCCTGGATTTTACATGTTGATGGATCGTCCAATACAAAAGGTAGTGGTGCAGGTATTATTCTTGAGGGTCCTAATGAGATGATGCTTGAACCTGCAATCAAATTTGATTTCAAAGCTACTAATACTTGCAGGTTTGAGATTGGCCAGAGATGTCGGTGTCAAAAATCTTCGATGTTGTAGTGATTCCAAGTTGATCATAGAGCAAGTCGGAGGAAGTTATCAAACGAAGGAACCACAACTCCAAAAGTATAACCTTCTAGTATCTCATTTGACTTCTTTTTTTGACAATTTCCAGATGGAACATATCCCAAGGGCCCAAAATGTTAGAGCTGATCTGCTGTCAAAACTAGCCAGTACTAAACGTTCCAGACAGCACAAAACAATTGTACAAGAGACAATTAATGCACTTAGCTATGATTCTCTAGCAGTGTCAGCTAACAACCTCAGTCAACCAAGCTGGATGTCAAACATTTGGCAATATCTTACAAGCGGTACTTTACCGGAAGATAAAGCTGAAGCCTCAAAAATCAAACTCAAATCTTGTCATTTCACAATTGAAGCTGGAGAGTTGTTCAAAAGGGGATTCTCAGTATCCCTTTTAAAATGCCTTAACTCAGATCAAGTTGGGTATGTAATGGACGAGATCCATCGGGGTATATGTGGTATACACTCGGGAGCTCGGTCCATGGCTGCTAGGGTGATCCGAGCTGGCTACTACTGGCCAACTATGAGATCAGATTGTAAAGCATATGTACAAAAATGCGAAGCTTGTCAGAAATTTGGCAACCTACACCAGTTACCTGCAACTGCCCTACACTCCATGCAATCAGCATGGCCTTTTGCGTGGTGGGGCATGGACATACTCGGTCCTTTCCCAGTCGCCAAAGGTCAATTGAAATTTTTAATTGTGGGGATTGATTACTTCACAAAGTGGATTGAAGCTGAGCCTTTAGCGCGAATTACAGCGACTAATGTGTAGCGTTTTACGTGGAAGAAAAATGCCGAAAGCCCGTTTCGGGCCGGTGGCGACACCCAAGAGATTCCATTTTCTTCTTCTTCTTCCTCTATTCTAGGTGATCAAAGGTAAGGGAAACTTGTAGTTTCTTGATTATGTGTTGTCCATGTTAATTACTACTTGAATTGGTTGAGTTGTTGTTGATGGGATAATCGAATACCTTATCATTTAGGTTTTTGGAAAGTTTGAAGAAGAGCTGGCTAAATCCTTTGTTGTTATTGTTACATGTTGTTTACTATATTTGTTTCTATGTCATTTGTTGAGTTACATGTTGGTGTTTTGTTGAAAATTTAAGGTTTTGAGCTAAGATCGTGAGTTATCCAACTATAGAAATCATTATCGCATTAAGTGCAACTTCATGGCACCCGACATGATGTAAGCCAGAGGCTTTTTGTCTCATCGATGCCAAGCGCAAGATTGGTAGTATTGGGTGTGATTTAGAGGAGAGCTCTCTGACTTGGTCATATCGAGTGTGGGTTGAGGGCACCGGACGTGGTTGCCTCAAAGGCTCTCTGACTTAGTGATGTCGAACCCCAATTTGAGTGGTGCCAAATGTGGTCAAGGTAGTAGCTCTCTACTTAGATAATGTTGAGCATGAGTCAGGTAGAGGTTCTACTTGAATGAGGTCAGGTAGAGGTTCTACCTGAATGAGGTCAGGCATAGGTTTTTGCTATGCAAGACATGATTGCATAAGAGTTCTTTACCTCATCTGCATCGGGCACAAGTGGATTGGCATTGGGTACGAGAAAGCTAGAGGCTTTCTACCTCAATGACACCGAGCATAGGGAGAACGACGTCAAGCGTGGTTTGATGAATGAAAAACTTGTTGATATTTGACTTAGTATTGAGAATGAGTGTATTATATTGTGAGGAAGTGGTGTTGTGGTGCTTTATGAGTCCAAGTGTTGAAAAATATTTCTTGAGTATAGCTGAATCTTGAAGTGAAGTGTTGAGTCTCATTTAGATCCTTAGTTAAAACAGTATGAGGGAAAAATCTGAGTAAAGTACAAGGATAAGGGTCAAAATCCCTAACTAATTATTAGAAAAGGCATAGTATTTAGAGAGTAGTTGGAGGGCTAATGATGGAATTACTAAGTGAACACATAGTTGAATTCACTCTTCTTGAACACCAATGATCCACACATCTCCTTGAGGCTTGATCTAAGATTTTGACTAAAGAAAAAGAGATAGAGGAAGGTATGGAAGGATACTCAAAGTCTCCCTAACAAAGGAAGAACAACATGCACCAATACACAAGGAAGGTTTCCTTGTTGAAGGAACTTAAGGAAGCTAGATTCCCTAAGCTACTTGGCTCCTAATTTAAGAGAGAAATCTGAGTATAAATCTCACATATAATCCAAAATGAAGAATTTACACACAAAGGAAACCTTATATAGAGCTAGGTGGCATCTTGGAGAAGCTAGGTTAAGCCTAGGGTCAAGTTAAACCATGGTATGGTTTACTTGACTCCTAGGTGTGCCAAATTTGGATTTGAATTCAAATTTAGTGTGGAACCTACCTTTCCCATGTGCTACCATGTGCTCTTGCATCTAGGAAGTTAGACTATTCATTTGGTGCATGCCATGTGCGCCACCCTTAGCCAGTCACATGGAGCTCAAATGTAATTCAAATGACTCCTAAATTACATTTAAATGTAAGGTCCATTCCCAAATAGGCTTCTATCTTATCTAGTAGCCCAAATACACAACCAAATGAAAACTACACTACTTAGCCCAAAATGCAAGGTCCAAAAATACAAGCCCTAATAAGGCCCAAAGTCCTACACTATTAGGCCCATAATACATGACCCAAAATAAGAAGAATTGGGCTTTATGACTTAAGAGAAGCTTAGGTCCACTAACCTTAGCACAGGCTCAATCCTCCTACATCCTCCTAGCCATGCCCCTAGTGGTGGGTCCCTTGGCTATGCCTCTACCATTAGCTAATTTTATATAGGCTTAGTTAAGCATGCTAAGGTCGTAGTAGGCTCATACCCAAATTGTCCCATCCTTGACAAGAAAATTGATCTTTCTTAGTTTAAGTGGTGAAATTCGAGAAACCATGTTGTATTGTGAATTGATTCCAAAATTTTTTGTTGATCTAGCAAGCCCAAAAAGATCGTGTTGTTAAGTTGGTTCGATATGACCAATCCACTTAGACTGCTTACCTCTGTTATAAGAGATCTCTTTGTTAAAATACGTGACAATGCATCACGTAATTGTATTGATATGTTGTGAACTTGATGTGTTCAAAGTTGACATGTGTTTCTTTGTTTTAAAGTTGTTTAAGTTGTTGTGTTGTAAATAGATGTGTTGTGAACTATTGTTTTGATTACATGCGTATTGTTGAATGAGCTAGTATGTTGATCACATGTTGTGTTGCATAGTTGTAAGTGTATGTGGTTTGTTGAAGTTGTTGTATAGTTAGTTTAATACTTCTATACTATGTTATTTCTTTTGAATATAAGTTTACCCTTACATTTTCCTTATAGTTGAACTACAATGATCATACTTGTTATGAGAACATAACAAGAATAGGCTAGAGGTTGAGCGCGTCTTGTGAGCCATGCTAGAGGATTACAATGTTGTTTTGGAGATACTATGATATTTGTAGTTGTTTCATATATATATATATATATATTGTTGTATGTATTTCTTTCACTACTTTAATTATCGAACTTTAAAGTGTAGATACCTGTCCAATTGTTACAAAATCAATCAAGAGATAACCATTCCTTTTCATGCTATAGGAAAGATATCATTTGAGTTAATGAAGTGTATAAGGTGTCATTTTAGTAAATTTTTATTTATTTTATATTAAAAAGGTAAATATCCAGAAAGGGGAAAATTTTATTATTTTTAATTATTGAAAGGATATGTAATCGATCGATTAGCACTTAAGTTCTAATCGAGTTTGTGTGAGAAGGGGACATGTTTGTTTGTTGGCAAAACTTCTTTGCATTTATGCTTTGCGCGAAAAAAAGTGTCACGCAACAAACTCATTCTTCTTTTTTACTTTTGCTCATTTTTAATGCACCAAATGAATGATGAAAAATAACTTCTCTTTATTGTAGTTACCTTCCGCTTTATGTTTACCAAACGAAACATTAGTCCGTCTGTGTATTTGTTTCCTTGTCTAGGATCCACGTTAAAAACTAAATCACGTAAAATAAATAAATAAATAAAACTATTAGTTACTTCTTGAATCCACCTCCAATGATGTTCAAAGCATTACCAAACATATCCTCGATCATCTCGGCACTTCTTCTCTCACTTGATATACGAAAGGACCATGTGATTTGAGAATATTTTTTATTTTTAAATTCTATTTTCTTTTTAAAAATAGTTTTCATTTCAAGTTTTTAAGATTTAAAAAATATGTTTTATTTGAGTTTCTATTTTCTATTTTTAAAATCGAAAACATTCACATTTGTAACACACAAGGATTTCGTATACATTGTCGGTAGAAAAAACACAATAAAGTTATAACTAAAATAGTAACTTTTTCATTCTTTAAAAAAAAAAAAAAATTAGAAAACATTTTTTAAAAACATTTTCCAATATCTTTATCAGCTAGCCAAACATATCTCTACCACCATTTTCTATTTCTTTGAAGATAAAAATAGATCACGACCAAAAAATATTTAAAATCAAACCAAAAAATATCAAGCATCCCATTTTTTAATTTTATTTTTCTTTTCCTCAAAACAGCAACACCGAGACGAGACTTTAGTGATTTTAAAAACTTAATTTGGTCCCTTATAATATTTTTTGTTTTAATTTAGTCTCACTTTAATTTTTTGCTTCAATTTGGTCCCTAATAATTTAAATTATTGCAATTTGGGACTTCAGTCCAAATGATTTAGATGGAGTTAACTGTTGGTCACGTGGATGCCAGGTGGATGTACACGTAGATGCCAAATTTTTTTAATGCATCTGGAGCCAGAACGGCCCGTTCTGGTTGCACACTTCGTGTATTAATTTTGCACCTGGAACGAGCCGTTCCAGATGCAAAATTAACACATCAAGAATGCAACCAGAACGAGTCGTTCTGGTTTCAGAACAGGCCATTCTGGTTTCAGAACAGGCCGTTCTGATTCCAAAATGTCAAACCCAAACTGGATGATTATAGTCAGTGACAGATCCAGAAATTTTAGATCGTGGGTACAATACTTATTTATATATTTATAATATTAAAAATTTTACATATAATTTTTAAAAGTATAAATATATATTATATTTATTTTTTACAAGTTTTTATATCAACAATTACAATTAAGGATGAAAATAAACTAGGTCAGATTATGTTATATTATAATTTAACAGAATTAAACCTAATTTTTATTAAAAATAAATGTTATTAATATGATATATTTATCTGTCATAGACATTTTTTAAAATGTTTGGTTATAACTACAATCTTAAAAACCTACTTAATAATAATTTAACACTAATAAAAACATGAAAATAAATATGTTAAATCTTATAAAAATCAAATTTAATTTATTTATCATTTAAAGATATTTTTGATATGTGATATAAATTTTTACAATTTTGATTTTTTTTATCAACATATACAATAAATAGAACGCACAAAAGTTTGACAAATATGAGATAAATGAAGAATTTTTCAAAATTTATATTTTATACATATGATAATTTAAATATATATATATTTATTTATTTATTAGAATATAATTTTTATTTTTTGAAATATTATTTTTAGATAAAAAAAAATTATGTATGTGTAAATAGTTTGTCTTTGATCTTTGAATTGTATTGTGTGTTGGTTGGCGTTCTGGAAAGGGTCGTTCTGGTGTATTGTGTGTTGGTTGGCGTTCTGGAAAGGCCCGTTCTGAATCCAGAACGACCCGTTTTAGAAATCAGAACGTCCCGTTCCGATTTCAGAACGACCCGTTTTGATGCTCTCGTTGGTGTTAAATAATGCATTTGGAACGCCCGTTCCAGATGCAAAATTTACGCACCATGAGTGCAACCAAAAAGGTCCGTTCCGATTTCAGAACGGGCCGTTTTAATTTCAGATGAATGAAAAAATTACGCATCCACGTATGCATTCACGTTCCCATCCAAGTGACATTTACGTCACCAGGAGTTAACTCCGTTTAAATCATTTAGACAAAAATCTCAAATTATAACAATTTAAATTATTGAAGACCAAATTAAAACAAAAAATTAAAATAAGATAAATTAAAATAAAAAATATTATAAAAAACCAAATTAGGTTTTTAACCTTAAACTTATCACATTCTCTTCTCAACACAAGGATGACCAAGAATGTTGGAGGTGGCTGAACAAAAACTATGCATGTAAATTCAGATAGACAATCACACAATTTTATTTCTTAAAAAATATTTTATCCTAGTTGAAAATTATATTGATGACTGTACAAAGAGGAAGAAAAATGATTGTGTTTTTGTCTGGTGAAAAATATTAAAAATCTACAAATAGAAACGGACAAAAACATTACCACCAGCAACATGCACCGTACCACGGTGAGTGAGTGAGCAACATCAACGGTTGTGCGCGGCTCTTCCGCAATCCGCAAGCTTCCGCGAGCTCTTATCTCAATAC